CAAATATTTTTGAAACAAATTTAATTTCCAAATAACTATGTTACACATTGCATTGTCAGTTGTCACGGTGTCACCGACTCAGCCGGTGTAGACATGACCAACAAAGTTGACAATCAGTTCTTCCGCAAAAAAAGTTGTCGCTGGAAAATGACGGGTTTGGCTTGACAAAATAATGCCCACTATCAAACCACCGATCTACACTTAAGTGATGCAGAGTCCAATTACTTTTGAAGACTGCCATTTTTTTTAAAAAAAAAAATTGCAGCGTTCTATAATACAAATGTCCAGTGTAGCAATGACAATTGTCATCATAGCTTTGAGCTGTCCAACTTTTGTTTGGCTAATCATTTAGTGTCAGTAAAGATACCACGGGCTAGCCAGCTTTCGGATTGATCATTTAAAAATAGTCAGCGTTTGTAAAGTCATTGAAAAATAGCCATTATTTTGCTGCAACACGGAAAGTTCCAGCATAATATACTGGAGATCAGTGCATATGCTGGAACTCCAACACGCGGAAAGTTCCAGTATAATATACTAGAGATTGGAGCACCGGTGCTCCAATCTCCAATATATAATGCTGGACCGGTATATTATACTAGTATAATTACACTGGAACTTCAGTATATTATAATGGAGTATTTTTCTAGATTTTGAATAGTTTTTTCATTCAAATTTATCTTTACATAAAAAGTGGCTAAATTTCGATTACTTGACTATTTTTGAATGACTGCTTGTAAATCTGGTTATTTTTGAATTTCTCCCTTAGTGTTCCAATTCACTTTTGGCCCGACTAATATAAATATGCGCCGGAAAAAGTCTGTTATAGAGGGTCTCACGCTCTTTACTAAAAGGAACCCTACTTTCTCGGCTCGAATTGGAGATGTTTGATTAAAAGTGAAATAATCTTTATCATTCTACCGTACCTATGATAGCTGTCCAGGCCTCATCTATTGCAACCATCGTTACTCAGTGACATCACTCTCTGTAAGCTATAATATTAATCTATAAAAATATTGTATTTGTACATAATATCAACTTGTAATCCCAAGTAGAAGTAATACTAACAACAATTATACTAACAAATAATTGGATGCCCTAAATGAAAGTTCACAGAAGGCTCTTCGAAGGAGAAGATCACAATTTAGTCTTCGCTACATAGAACAAGATAACGACAAAATAGTTTGGAGGAGGTGGCTGTTTAAGGTCCATATTTTCTGAAAAAACTTGCATGTCTTCAAATTGAATAGGTACAGAAGGAAGGAGCCAGTTTGGCTTTTATTTCTGCAAGTTTAATGGGTTTGATTATTGAATGGCCTTCTATACAAGGGAAAGAACAAGTGCAAATTGGTGCAAAGCCTACATTTTTTATTTAAATAAAATATAAAGGGCTTTTTACCTAGCTATATTATAATAGAAACATATTTATTACTTTTATTTAGGTTCCTTATTAATTACTTTATATACCTATATTTACTAGTTTTATACAAAACCTTAAAAAAAGAGGAAATGAAATATATATACCTTAAATAGTGGGTATCAGTTACACAAAATATCCTACATTTAAGATACCCAAAATCCCTTCACCGTAAGAAACCCACCCCAAAATTATCATCTCTCTTTGTAATTACCAAATCCTTTCACCGTAAGAGACCCACCCCAAAATCATCACCTCTGTTTGCAATTACCAAATTCCTTCACCGTAAGAGACCCACCCCAAAATCGTGCTCTTGCAAACGATTGAGAATATAACTTGGAGTTTATATCTCAATTTTGAGGAAGATTGGTTAAGTTTAGAGTTGTTTTTAGGTGAAATTTCTTATTGAGACTCGAAGAAGAAAAGTTTTTGAATTGTATCACGATTGTATTATAACTGTATCATATTTGTTTCATAATTGTATCAGAATCGTATCAAAGTTGTATTTGATTTGTATCCGATATATCAATACTTAAAATAATACCTAATACAATTATAATACAATATTGTTTCAGAATTTAAGTTTAGAGTTGTGATTGAAACTTGAAGAAGATGAGGAAGATCAAAATTGTATCACGATTGTATCATAATTGTATTTGTATTATAATTGTTGCAGAAATTGTATCATAATTGTATTTGTATTATAATTGTATATGGTGATGAGCAATTGTAAGTTATGAGCTATTATCCTATTAAACAGCTGAAGCAAAGTTAGTAGCTTCTTGCTGAAGACGTGCAACCATTGAAAAGAGAGAGAAGAGGAGATCCACATATTGAAAAAAATTAGAAAGCATGAAATGAGGAGAAGTGTGAAAAAAGAAGAAAATGATATAATTGAATCCCTTAATTAAATGCATTAATAATGGGATGAGAGATTTTTAAGAGAGGAATATATACAATTTGTAAGAAAAACCTAGATACTTTTTGAAACTACAAAACCTAGAGAAAATAAATTAATAAGTTCCTATCATAGTATATATAGGAAAAACTCCCTAAAATAAATACAAGCGATGACGTTCCAAAAGAGTAGGACATCTCCCTTGATAGACATTGCCTCTATTTTTATTTTATAACGTACTTGTCGAGACAAAGAATTTAAGATATAAAATTATCTTATATATTACATTACCGGTCTTGGAAAAGAACCTTAAATTTAATTGAAACTACTAGTTTGGTTAGGTGACATCACATCATAAATTCGAATTAAAGTTCAGAATTTTACATCAAATAGTTTTATTAAAGTTTTAGCAAACATTTTTGAAGGATCGAAAATAATAAAATCATGGTATAAATTAGGATGTGCAAATAGGCTCTTATAAATATACAAATAAGTTTGTTTTACAGTAAATTCGATAAGGTCTATATATGATCACCCAACGCTGAGTGAGAACTTAGGGATCATTTGGAGACAAGTTATGCTAGGATTATAGTTATACTGAGATTAGTAATCTGTGATTAGTATTTTACCCTTTGACAAGCATAAGTTATCCCGGTACTATTTTTAATCATGGAATAAATTATCCCAAGACTAATCTATCTATCTATCTATCTATCTATCTATCTATCTATCTATCTATTTATCTATCTATCTATCTATCTATACTATTATAAAAGTGGGAAACCTTTAATTAAAAAGTTGAATTACCAAAATAGCCTTATAATTAATTAAATATAATTATGTAATAATTAAAAATGATATTATAATTAAATATCTATATCTATCTATACTATTATAAAAGTGGGAAACCCTTAATTAAAAAGTTGAATTACCAAGATAGACTTATAATTATGTAATAATTAATAATTAAATAAAATAGAATAGAATAAAATCAATTTGTTGGTGTCTTTTCTAGGGGTCGTGTCCGTTGCGTAAACTCCTAATTTCTCTTTGAGTTCTAACTTAACAGTTGGCTTTAAGAAGCAAAAGCCGTTCTCTTAATCACTCGGCCAAATCATTCTTCTAAACCTATTTGGCCAATTCTTTTTACTGGGTTGCATAAATAAGAGGTGAACAATATCATTATCTCTACACAACCAACTAAAGAAAGATGTTTTACTTTAGTCGTGTCGAGCGAAATTAAATTGAGAGGATTGAAAACCAGAGGAGAATAAGTGCAGTGCTCTCCGTTGAGTGATTGCGAGGCCTGGATGATTATTCCCGACAACCTCGAGTAATCGCCAGGTAACTCCTCGCTAACGATAAAATTAAAAGTTAACTATCCAGTAATTTACATGGATTTCGGTAAAAAAAATAAAAGAAGAAGCAAAATAACAGTTCCAAAAAGTTCAAATAATTGCAGCTTTTACTACGAATGACCCAGACACAACACAAACACTTAAGAACGAAGCGGCAATGGTTCTGTATTCTTTACAGTCTACTCATTCTTTAATTATTTGTCCTTTATGATTTATGAAGTCCAATATTTATAGTATAGATGGTCATAATCTCAAAAATATTATGGATCTTGCATGCATATATATTATAATTAGGAAAAAAAATAACGAAATGCATATTATGATTATGATAGCCAGATGGTCCATCCATTATGTTATTTACGTTTCTTATTTTCTTCCTTTCTCTCTCTATATATATATGTATGTATGTACTTATGTGTCTACCAACTCCCAAATAGACATATTTATGCTTCCTTGAACAAGGAAGTATTAGAAGGAAAGACTACTTAAAAATTTGGATCCTTCAAATGGCTTATGCAAAGCTACGAGAATGATCTATAGAGGATTTATTTTATTATACTAATTTTATTTTATCATGTATTATATGATTTAATATACACGTGCAACGCACGTGACGAAAAAATAGTAAACCAAATAAGGGATAAGGCGGTACTAAATTTTTATCCCGTAATTATTTTTGCTTATCCACCATTACCAAATGACCCATTAGTGCACTAAATTGCTTTTATGTGATACAAATTTGGATAGGTTGATTGTTGGATCTTCGGAATATTCATGTCAATGGGTAGATGTACCAAGACCTTTTGATTAAGCGGCAAGGTATCTAAAAAGTACCTAAAATATTTGCTTATGAATTATTCCTTCCACTACAGTCCTAAGATGCGCCATTATTGTATAGTAAAAAGTAGAAAAGATAGGCGTCGATGCCATTATTTTGTGTAATAAAAGAAATGAAAGGAAACACTTTGTAAGAGGAATCGTGAAACAACAAGCAACTTCCTGGTCAGACAACATAGACAACATACAGTTGTACAGAGTCGTAGAATCTCAGAAAACTACAACTTAAAAAATTTGACTTACTTGCAACTTACTAGCAAGCAAACAAATCATAATAATATAATAATACATATAATAATAGAATAAAAGCAAAAATAGTTGTAATTATAATGGTGTACAGTTGAGAATTAAAATGAAGTGTACTAGTTGTCACTATTATGTCGCTCTCATGTGTGAAAACGTGTCACACTATTTCCAGGTGATTTCTGTGCTGTGAAAATTAATAAATAGGTCGATTGATAGTGATAGATTAGAAATAACACTGATCTACTCCTGCTTTTCTTCTATATATATTTCAAGTAAACTTCAGTTAGTTTCTGATATAATTAACCTTCAAGAAAAACACCCCATTACATTGAAACAATAAGCAAGAAAATCAAAGGGACAAGACGGAAAAAAAAGTTTTTAGATTATAGAGAATTCAAGAAATGGCGCCAGTGAAGAATAAAGAAAATGCTGGAATGTTGAGGGTGAAGGGAGCAGTGAAGAAACCAGTTTCTAAGGCGTATTCTTTTGGTAGCGATATGAAGAAAATAGCAGAAGATGATCCAAGGAAAATTGTTCATTCAATTAAGGTTGGATTGACCATTGCCTTGGTCTCATTGTTCTACTACTTTGAACCTTTCTTTCATTACGAGGGATTTGGTGTTTCTGCAATGTGGGCAGTTTTGACTGTTGTCGTCGTCTTCGAGTTCTCTGTTGGTAAGTTTCCTATTAAATCGCACGTTAATTTCACATCTAATCATTGCACCAAAGTCATTAAACTATTCTTTGTGTTTAATTGATCGCGCCATATTTTTGTTTCTTGTAGGAGCAACACTTGGGAAAAGCGTAAATAGAGGAATTGCAACGTTTCTAGCTGGTTCATTAGGTGTTGGAGCTCATAAACTTGTTTACTTATCAGGGTCAGATAAATTGCAACCAGTTGTACTTGGATTATCTGTTTTCTTAATAGGTAAATTGATGTGATCAACATTTCCTTAGAGATCTACTTTCTTTTACTAGTATATAGTATTTGTCTTATTTATTGTGAATATCTAATAAGAATCATGTGTTCTTGAAAACAGCTGCAATAGCCACGTTTATGAGATTTGTACCAAAATTGAAAGCGAGATATGACTATGGCATTCTCATTTTCATTTTGACATTCTCTTTGATCTCTGTTTCTGGGTATCGAGACGATGAGGTGTTCGATATGGCGATTACTAGGGTTACGACGATCCTTATCGGCGGCGCGGCCGCGGTTCTGTTTAATGTGGTCATATGCCCTGTTTGGGCTGGTGAAGATCTTCACAATTTAGTCGCCACAAATATTGAAAAGCTTGGAATTTCCCTTGAAGGTACATCTTTCCTCACTTTGATAGATCGGCATATAAATAATGTACTACACCTTCCGTTTATGGTTTTTGACATATATTAAGAAAAAAGTTGTTATATACATGGTCAATTAAGAATTTTATACACCATCAAAAGATATCTATATGTAAGCCTTTTTAAAACGTGAGATTTGTAATCTTGAAACCAAGATATGTTACCTAAAGATAGGGGTGACCTGGAGTTGTAAGAAATTTCTCATATTTCGATTTATATAACTTAAACTCTTAAGATAACAATTTAATACTTCCTAATCATTGATTTCTTTTTTACTAAATCACCCTTATCCCTTGCTTAAATGAATAATTAATGGTTGTATACTTCTTTGGAGTAACAATAATAGAATCTATATTTATATCTATACTATATTAAAAGCACGAAGGCCCTTAGCGAAATATCGTTTGACTTTTTTACCTTAAAAAATTAAGTTTATATTGGACAAAATAGTAATTTAATTATTTTTTAATATTTAAGAATAGTAATTTAACTCATCCTAAAATTTAGGATTTCAAAATCAATTAAACATTGCGTACCAAATCCTTCCTTATTTAAGCTGTGTATGTAATATAACATATCTGTAAAAAAAAATTGTATGTTTCGTCAACATGTAAAAATCTTTGGATGGAACACTTTCAATTCCTAAAGTCATAGGAGTATTAAGAAACGTCTTTTTTTTTTTAACACTAACCGATTATATTTCTATAAATATTTTATGCAAAAGTTTCGTTAAGTATTTATATATTTTTTAGGTTATAATCCATTATTTTCAATTCTTTTACTTAGGAGTTTTATTAATATACATTTGGCTAAAAGAAAGGGAGGACGAGGGTGTGAATAGAAAAAAGGAAAAAAACATATACCAAATTATTTCTCTTAGGTAAAAACAATATATATCTATATAT